GGACTCCTGTTCCGGGGAGGAGGGCCGGGGTGGACTCCTGGGCCCCGTGCGTTGGGCATCGTCCCTGGCCTGTGAGCTCTGAACCAGCTGTCTGGCCGCCCGCCCCTCCCGCAGTGCTGCCGTGGTCAGTGCCATCAGCCTGTACATGCGCCACCTTGGGGTGCGGACCAAGAGCGGGGACAAGAAGTCGGGGCGGAACTTCTTCCGAAAAAAGGTGCACCCCGTGTGCCCAGAGCTGGCCCTTTGTCTTTGGAGAGCCCCCAGCGGAGCTGTGGTTGCACCAAGGCCCGTCGGGCTCTGGCGGCGTCTCAGAGATGCCTGCCTCTCCTCCCTCTGCCTGCCTGCAGGTGATGAACCGGCGCTCAGAGGAGCCTCCCAAGACCAAGAAAGGCCTGAGCAGCATCCTGGATGCCGCCCGCTGGAACCGGGCCGAACCCCAGGGTGAGGCCCGGCCTCTGCCTGCCCTGTGGAACCCGGGCTGCCTCCCCAACCTCACTGACCCACTCTCTTGTTTCAGTTCCAGATTTTCGACACCTCAAAGTTGAGGTTGACGGTAATGGACCTTCATGGAGTCCTGAGCAGGGAGGGGCTGGGGCCCGGGCCCCTGGGCTCAGGGAGGAGGGGCTGGGGGCTGGACCCCCATTCTGAGGGAAAAGTAGCTGGGGGCCCAGCATCTTAGACCTCCCAGGCGATTGGGGGTTAGAGTTTCTGTTCCCTCATTTCCCCAGGTGAAAAGCCAGGACCTATGGACCGAAAGGGAGGCCTGGGAGTTCCCTCTCGGGACCGAAATGTTGGGGCCCCTGGACAGGACACCCCTGGAGTCTGTCTGCACCCTCTACCGGGGGACAGCCCAGACCGGGACCCAGGTGAGAATCTGTTGGACTGGGGCTCTGGGAGTACAGTGGGCTCCCTGGGCATGCCTTGCCCCAGTTTGCAAGCTGGTTCATTTCTTACCGTGTGGGCCTTTGTCCTGGCCCTGGCATCTTAATCTGTCCTGGCCAGAGTCTGGGGTTCCCTGGCAGCTCCCCCTCAGATCCAGCCCTTGCCCTGGCGAGCCTTCTGTATTCTCAGCGCCAGCTCCTCCCTGCTCCTGGTCACCAGTGTT